TTTCAATTTCGAAGAGATATCCGAATACGTCCATCTTTTTATTCTAAGTAAAATGTCATTTCCGAAAAATAGAAGCGTGAGTGTTTCAAAAGGTTTTAATGGCGGTGGCAGATGTGAAGTTAAATTCACCAACTCAAACAAACAGTCAAAGTGTTATTGTCAATGTCAAAGACAGAGATGTTGAAGTGGGGAAACCATACGAAGACGAAGATGGTATAACAATTGTTCCTGTAAAAGAACAACCAACATATCCTGAAGTTAGCAGAGACTTAAGTTCTGTTGCAGATATTCGAAACGACTACCAACAACTGAAAGACAAACTTCAAACTCAGGAGAAGATTTGTCAAGCTTTAGTATAATGTTAAACTTGGTCGAACACAACCCTGTAAAAGTGAACTCATATGTCATTGCACCTCATGAAGTTTTGAAAGAACTATTGAAACTTTTGACAGAGGCAGACGATATAAACATCAAAGAAATAGAACCCGACATTAGTTGCTGTGGTGTTTCATATAATGTCATTGACAAGATATACGTTATGAAAGGAGGTGAAACGTTGAACTTAAAGTATAGTTTCCCAGACGTCATAAAATATTTGACGACCACAACATTTCATTAAAGTTTATTTGCTAAGTAAATGGCAGAAGACATAATGGTTTATACTATTACGACTAAAAACCCTGAGTCATATAATTCTATAACAACAAACTTACAAAGTCCTCAAGGACGATATTGTAAACTAACCTTAAACACAATGACGACTAAAGCCTGTTTTGCTCTTTTGACACCAGAAGACTTTATTGTTGTGAATGGTAAAAAATACTCCTTTGAAGATACTTACTCAGATATACCACCAACAGGTTTTGTTGACTTATTTAATACTTTAAGTACGGGTGTAACATGTGCTGCAACTAGAGCAGGTTTCATTATGTTTGGATGTCCGACTGAGTTTACTATAAACGATATGAGCTATAATACAAAACTTATTTCTGGTTTTACTACCAACAGTTTCCTATAACAGGAAAAGGTGTCATACAAGGAATGTCTATTCCATTGACATTAAGCACACCAATCTTATATATTGTTTCAAACTTAGGTTCAAAGTGTTATTCGAATGTTGACAGAAAACTATTATGACCAAAAGATACTTATGCGTATAAACAATACTTTCTCTGCTGGTTTGCCTATTGTTCATTCGAATGCAGAATTTTCAACCTTAGTGAACTCAAACACTTTGGCAAGTATAACGTTGACATTAGTTGACGCAAACTTTGTTCCTGTAAAACTTTTATGTCCTATGTATTTGTCAATGACGGCAGAAAGTTTCGAATTGGAAGATGCAAACTGGTGAAAGTATTGTATTACAAGAACAACTTCAACAACAAATAGCTCAAGAACAACAAATGCAACAAATGCAACAACAAAGTCAAGAATAAAAAAAATATTTTTTTATTTTTATAAAAATGTACAGAATAGATGTTTCAGATTTTTATGACTTCCAAGCATTCAGAAATATGTGTCCATTTAGAGACTATAACAAAGCAGTCGAGAATTTGAAACGTTTAGTCATTTATGTGACTCTGCCCCAGAATGTTATGTTATGAAAGAATGGGATGTAGTCTTTAACAAACCAAGAGCAACAATAGTTTCAGAACAAGAATGTAGACAGAAACTTAAGAAAATAAAAGTTGTACAAGTTGGAATGAAGATGTTAGATGCTTGGGATATCTTATTGTCAAAACTTGAAGATTTTTCAGTTCGTGGTATAAAGTTTCTATACACCTTCTCCAAACTTCTATTCTATCTTCACTGGATATAAATACGAACAAGTAGAATGGAAAGAAAATATTATAGAAGCTTGGTTAGACCATGTCAAAGAAATTATATGCAATGGAAACGAAAAGGTTTATGAGTATATCTTATGTTGGTTTGCAAACATCTTACAACATCCAAGTGCTAAAAATGAAACTGCTCTCATTATAATTGGAAAACAAGGAACTGGTAAGAACACATTCTTTACAGATATTTTGTGCAAACTGTTAGAAGGTTATTCGAACCCGAATATGACAAACTTAGAAAACATCTGTGGCAAGTTTAACTCCTCAATAGAGAATATGAAACTTATAGTTTGCAATGAACTTCAAAGTATAGATACAACAAAAGTTTTGAACTCAGATGCTTTGAAGAGTCTTATAACAGACAAGTTGGAGTTGTTGAAAGAAATATAAAGACCAAAGAGTTTGTGAAAATGTTGCAAACTTCATTATGGTTTCAAACAATGCTGTTCCGATGAAGTTAGAAAGTTCTGACAGAAGATATGTAGTTGTCAGAACGTCAGATTCTCATATGCAAGATACAGAATATTTTGACGACTTAGCAAACTTTGACATCTGACTTTTAAACCACTTGTTCTCATTTTCATGACATTAGATATTTCAAAGTTCAATCCAAGACAAATTCCACATACCGAAGAGAGACAAACATTGTTAGAAGCAAACAAGAGTGTATATGAACTGTTCATAGATGAAACTGACTTATGAGTGTTTAGATGAAAGGTCATTGTACGATTCGTATAAACAATATTGTCAAGAATATGGTTATATGACAGCGTCTAAACGAACATTCTTGGCAAATGTCAAAAGTCTTTTAGACGTACAGAATGGTGTTATATACAAAAGAAAAATTTTTCTGAGTAAATTTAAAAAAAAATATTTTTTTATCGATAGAAAAGATGACAGAAAAATTAACTTTTTACATAGCGCCAGACCCTTCTTGCCCACATCTTTTTTAAGCCACAATATATAGACATAAAACTAAATAGAGAAAGCGAAATTCTACAAACAGAAGAAACATATAGAGACCTAGATAACGAAAATGGATATGCGCTATTCTGGTTAGATTGTCCTTATGAAATGTATGAAAAAAAGGCTTTATATGAAGAATATAGAAAAATATTGTCATGAAAAACGATATAAGACCAAGCTCTAGAGAAAATTCTATGCTGGTATAAAACATCTTTTCGAATTCGAATGGCAAATATAGAAAAGAAATAATTTTTCTGAGTAAATTTAAAAAAAAAATATTTTTTTATCCGATAGAAAAAGATGGCAAAATTCATCTCAGTAAACAAGTACATGTCAGGACTTAAAGAAGAACTAGACCCATTCACATATTTGAATGTTTACTTCTACCATTTTGAAAAGTCTTCATTCAGCAAAGTTTGGAACATCGAACCAGTTAAGTTTGCTATTGTGACTAAAAATGGTGCGAAATTTGAAGACTTAGAGATAGAAGGTTTGTTAACAGTCAAAGAAAGTTTTGACAGAAGGTTCTCAAACCTTAAAGAAGGCAAAGCATACAAACTTGTTATACCTTATGAACCAAGAAAGCAGACGACTATGAATATTATGAGTCTAAGATAGTTGAAGTTCAAGGTAAATTGTGGTAAAAAGATTTAGAGTCTAAGCCAGTGTTTGCTCCTAAAGAGGAAGAGAACATTGACATTGACCCAGAAATGTTCTAAAATAAAATTTTATTTTTACATGTCATATCTCCCCTTCTCTGGAACTGGTTCAGGTTCTTTCTTCTCTTCTTTCTACTTTCTTTTCTTTCTTCTTCTTTTCTGGTGGAGTTATGTCAAATTCTCCGAACCATATTTATGTAAAAGTTCTTTGTCCTTTAATAGCTCATCTATTCTGTTTTCTATTTCATCTTCAAGAACAGCGCATGTGTCTTCTTTGCATTCGAAGAACTTTTGTTGGACTTCATCTTTCCAATCGGTGTCATCTCTGTCAACAAGCTGTCATTGACAAATTTTAAGACTCTGCTCTGCTTAATGTTTTATGGTTCTTGTCATATTCCCAGAAACAGAACTTTAGAACAAATTCACCTTTCTTGTTTACACTATGTAAGATTTTATGGTCGACAGATGTTTTGCTGTCAAAAAGTTTGTCTCGAATATAGATAGCGAAATCGCTAGACATTTTCTAAAAGATAAAAATTTTAATTTTTCTAAAAATATGTTAGAAAAAAAGTTTGCTGACATTGACAAGAAATTTGAGAATGTTTTAAACAAGAACAAGAGGAAGTTAGAAAATGCTCAGATAAAACCTATACATGACAAGTTCTTATTTGCTCAGAATGGTATAACAGGTCTAATTGCACCACCTGGGTCGGGTAAGACTTTCACTTATCTTAAAATGGCTGCACAACAACAAGAACTAGATGAGAAGAACCCATTCTATGAGTTAGTTGTTATTTGTAGTACTTCTGGTCAATTTGACCAAACCGTCAATTCGTTCAAAGATATTATAAAGAAGTCTAAGTTAGTATGTATAAAGGATACTGAGTTGTTAGATTGGATAAAGAAGTACCAAAGAAGAGTTTTGAAGTATAATGCTATAAATGAGTATGTCAATTCGAAGTTTAAAGACCCAAATGAGGAAATGCAGAGAATATTAGAGAAGAAACACTTCAGAAACAAACAGAAAGAGATAGAATACATTTCGAAGAAATTGCAATCTTACGATTGGAAGACATACCCTCATAGATGTCTTCTTATCTTAGATGACTTTGCTTCTCATCCTTTGTTAAAGAATAGAGAACAAGATATGTGTCGAATTCTTAAGAAGCTCAGACACTTTAACATCTCAGTTGTCATTTGTGTACAGACAGCAAAGAGTTTAAGTAAGGATGTTAAAAGAATACTTACTGACATTATACTTTTCCCCGGATTGTCCGAAGACGATTTCATGGAACTTATGAAAGAGTCCATGGCAGGTAAGTTTGACAGACATGAACTATGGGAGAAGTACAAAGTCATACAAGACCCTCATACTTCTTTCAGAATTCATATCTACGCAAACAAAGTTCAAATTGTAAAAAGTCAAGCTTGAAAAATAAAGAGTTCATTTACCCTACTTGTTTGAAGTTGTCAAAATACTCTGTTATTTTTTCTTTCAGTAGCGGTAAGTCTTCTTTGAATGTAAGTATTGTACAACCTTTAATATCATAGTGTGTTTGAGGAAGAGTACTTTTGACAATTTCCTTTATTTGCTCATTCGGTGTCATTGAAATCGGTAAGTTTTCACGATAGAACCAGTTTCTGTCAGATTTATATATTTTAGCGAGGTCATAAAAGCTCTTGTTGTTTCTTCTCACTAAATGCAACATAACCATATCTCTATCTTCTTCTTTCTCCATCTCTTCAGCGTAAATCATATACTTATAGCTTTTTTCCTTACCTTTTGGTACCGAACGTGGTATTCTTTTCTGAATGCTTTTGTCTTTTGCTTCAAGCTTGTTTTCCATCTCTTCACGTTCTTGTCTATGAATTTCGTCAAGAAGTCTGTAAATATTCCAAGCATAACGAGGCGAAGCCCACATTGCAACAGCATTTACAAGAAGTCTATGTACATACCAACCTCTCAAACCATTTGGCAAATTTTTACGATTTTCATGAGTTTTAGGCGACCCCGAAGGAAGTCGGTCTCGCTGTGCTTCGCTCAAAAGTTCTTGTGTGCTTTGGTTTTTGAACCAATCGTCTGTATGTTTGGTATCTGGAGCAAAACATGCTGTCAAAATACTTTGCATTTGGTACATATCGTCTTTGACCGAACGAATGAGACGGAGTTGTTTGTTAAACTGTATGTACTCATATTCTTCATTTATGGCTTCATGAACGATAGCAGTTGTTGTGTTCTCTGATGTTGACATATCTGTCCTTACATACAAAATAAAAAATAAATAAAAATAAAACTAACTTTATTTTTTCTGACTTTCACAAAAGACCAAAAATAAACGCTTTACATGTATTTTTCAGCAACTTCGTCAAATAATTTTATAGCTTTATCTATCTCATCTACTTCAAACGTTTCTTTACCTTTTATGGGAGCACCATACATTTTCTCAAACTTTTCAAGTAGTTCTGTTTCAGCAGCTCTCATATCATTAGCAAACACAACCTTGACTCTATTGACTGTACTGTCATATCTTTGAGTTATATTATATGTTCTTCCTATCTTATATCTTTTTGTGTTGAAGTCCTTCGGTTTCTGAACGATGTAAAGTAAGCCTTCACTGCAACGTTCCGTATCGAATGAACCATATGTTATGAAGTTATATCCAACAACTGGGTCTAACCATAACAAAACTATTGGTATAAGACTTTTGTCGATGAGATATGCTGTAGTTCCATAGAATCTTACCGATATCATAAGCTCAGGATTTCTTGTCAAAATTTTCTGAGTTGAAGCAATTCTAACCCAGTCGTGTGTTTTCTTTCCAGATGGAAATATAATGTCTGACAAAGAATATTTGTTGTATTTCTTTGAGTATCTTACGTTTAAATCACCTATTCTAACCAATTTGGTGTCATTGTCTATCTTTTTAACTGTTTCAAACTCAATGTTTGACATATATGTCTTTACATACAAAATAAAAAAATAAATAAAAATAAAACTAACTTTATTTTTTCTATCTTAAGGAAATTCATGATTTTCATAGAGTTTTGGCGACTAAGGTTTCTTACCTACTCGCTGTTCTTCACTGTTTTCATACGGAATCTCTTCTCTCGGTTTTCCGAGGGAAGCAATCTTATGCCATTTTACTCAGATTTTTGGTCATTTTTCAATAAAAATATAATTTAGGGTAGAAGGTTAGATCTAACCTCTTTTCTAACCTCTTTTCTACCCTCTTGAATTTGTCATGATTTCATCGTAAATGTTTTGTCATGATTTCATCGTACATGTTTTGTCAAGACTTCTTCGTACATGTTTTGTCAAGACTTCTTCGTAATGAGTGTAAAGGACCCAAAAATATATTTTAGGGTAGAAGGTTAGATCTAACCTCTTTTCTACCCTCTTGAATTTGTCATGATTTCATCGTAAATGTTTTGTCAAGACTTCTTCGTACATGTTTTGTCAAGACTTCTTCGTAATGAGTGTAAAGGACCCAAAAATATAATTTAGGGTAGAAGGTTAGATCTAACCTCTTTTCTAACCTCTTTTCTACCCTCTTGAATTTGTCATGATTTCATCGTAAATGTTTTGTCATGATTTCATCGTACATGTTTTGTCAAGACTTCTTCGTACATGTTTTGTCAAAACTTCTTCGTACATGTTTTGTCAAGACTTCTTCGTACATGTTTTGTCAAGACTTCTTCGTAAATGTTTTGTCAAGACTTCTTCGTAAATGTTTTGTCAAGACTTCTTCGTAAATGTTTTGTCAAAACTTCTTCGTAATGAGCGTAAATCAGACAAAAATATATTTTAGGGTAGAAGGTTAGATCTAACCTCTTTTCTAACCTCTTTTCTCACCTCATGAATTTTCATGATTTCTTCGTAAATGTTTTGTCAAGACTTCTTCGTAAATGTTTTGTCAAAACTTCTTCGTAATGAGCGTAAATCAGACAAAAATAATGTTTAGGGTAGAAGGTTAGATCTAACCTGTTTTCTAACCTCTTTTCTACCCCAGTTATTTTATAAGCGTTTTACATGGTAAACGTTATGAATTCGTGAGACTCTAAACAGTTTTGTAGCTTCTATTTCTTCGCTGAGGATATCAAAAGTTTTAACTATGCCGAAAGTCTCTTTATACTTCTTCTTGACGTCAGATAGAAGGAAATCTTCTGCAGTTGGATAGTTTTTGTTCAGAAATTCTAACATGTCCATTTTATCTTCTGCTGGCTTTTCTGCTTCTTTCTTTAAATCTGCATAGTCGTTTCTCATTCTTTCTATCTCTTTGACGGAGTAGTTATATTTCCTCATTGCTGCTTTACATTTAGAACATTGCGGGTTCATTTTTGCGTTATATTCTGAAACCTTACCTGCTAAAACAACTAAAGCGTCAATGGTTTTCTTTAACTCAAAAGTTGCTGGTCTTATTTGTTCGTTCCATATTTTACATCTTTTATCTTTATCTCTTATCTGCCATACACATTCAGCAACTAATGAAACAAAGTTGTCGTATGTCTTAAACTCCCCCGATTTATATATGTCAGAAACATTCTTATATACCATGTCGCAATCTTTGTCCATAACTTTATGGTTGCAATGAAAACCAAGGAATTCATAGTTTACCTTTCGTATGAACTTCTTTATTTCTACTGAGTCAGTTGCTTTGACTTCAATTTCATCGAATTCAGGAATGGTTAGTTTTTGCTGCTGAATTTCAGGTAGTTTAGGCAAATGGTCAATAATGTCCTGCATGTCGTAAAGATACTGTTCATTTGTTTCATCTTTCGCACTACAGTCTAAATTACATGTTAAAAGTTCTTGCTTTATCTTCTGGATTTCTGTTTCAAAAGTATATGAAGAAGGAATGAAGCTTTTCATTTCTACTAACATTGACGTTGGATTCATGACTAACGAGTTTGGTGCTGTTGTTTGAAGTGTTGTAGAACCTATTGTTGACATTTCTGTTCTTTTATACAAAATAAAAAAAAATAAAAAAATAAAACTAACTTTATTTTTTATTTCGGGAAAATTCATGAAAATTCAAGAGGGTAGAAATGAGGGTAGAAAACAGGTTAGATCTAACCTCTTCACCTAAACTTTATTTTTGGTGTAAATTTCATGATTTTCGAGAGTTTTAGACCATGTTAGAAAACGTGTGAGAAAACGTGTTAGATCTAACATTCTAACATAAACTTTATTTTTGCTGAATTCCGTATGAAATTTCATGAAAATTCAAGAGGTTAGAAAAGTGGTTAGAAAACGTGTTAGATCTAACATGCTAACATAAACTTTATTTTTGGTGTAAATTTCATGATTTTCGAGAGGTTAGAAAACGTGTTAGAAAAGTGGTTAGAAAACGTGTTAGATCTAACCATCTACCCGACATTCTCGTCAAATACAAAAAAATGAAAAAAATGACACTTTTTCATTAGATAACTGTTATTTTTTGACGAAGTGAAGATTGACACTTCGTCAAAAAAATCCCTGAAATCATATCTTTTATACAAAAAAATACAAAAAATGACACTTTTTCATTAGATAACTGTTATTTTTTGACGAAGTGAAGATTGACACTTCGTCAAAAAAATCCCTGAAATCATATCTTACATACAAAAAAATGAAATAAAACTAACTTTATTTTTTCTATCTTAAGGAAATTCATGAAAATTCATGAAAATTCACGAGGGTAGAAAAGAGGGTAGAAAAGAGGTTAGATCTAACCTTCTACCCTAAAATATATTTTTGGGTCCTTTACACTCATTACGAAGAAGTCTTGACAAAACATTTACGAAGAAGTCATGACAAAACATTTACGATGAAATCATGACAAATTCAAGAGGTGAAAAAAGAGGTGAAAAAACAGGTGAGATGAAATCATGACAAAACATGTACGATGAAGTTTTGACAAAACATTTACGATGAAATCATGACAAATTCAAGAGGGTAGAAAAGAGGTTAGATCTAACCTTCTACCCTAAATTATATTTTTGGGTCCTTTACACTCATTACGAAGAAGTCTTGACAAAACATTTACGAAGAAGTCTTGACAAAACATGTACGAAGAAGTCTTGACAAAACATTTACGAAGAAGTCTTGACAAAACATTTACGATGAAATCATGACAAATTCAAGAGGGTAGAAAAGAGGTTAGAAAAGAGGTTAGATCTAACCTTCTACCCTAAATTATATTTTTGGGTCCTTTACACTCATTACGAAGAAGTCTTGACAAAACATTTACGAAGAAGTCTTGACAAAACATGTACGAAGAAGTCTTGACAAAACATTTACGAAGAAGTCTTGACAAAACATTTACGATGAAATCATGACAAATTCAAGAGGGTAGAAAAGAGGTTAGAAAAGAGGTTAGATCTAACCTTCTACCCTAAATTATATTTTTGGTCCGGGAACAAAATGAACGAGGTCAGGATGTATGCAAATACCTTTGAATTCATTCATAACACCCTTTGTAAGCTCATAAAATGCTTGTTTTGAGGTCGAGCCACTTTTGGCTCCACCGTATTCTTTCAACCAAAACTCAAGAATTTCCCGCATGAATTTTGTATAAAAAGCAACCGTCTGAATTCAGACGGTTGTTATATTCTTCACAAAACATTTACGAAGAAGTCATGACAAATTCAAGAGGGTAGAAAAGAGGTTAGAAAAGAGGTTAGATCTAACCTTCTACCCTAAATTATATTTTTGGGTCCGGGAACAACTTTCTCTCAATAGGGGCTGTAGCGTACTCTTTGTGTAAGCGGTTCAGACCTTCTTCGAACTCTTGGTCTCTCTTCGATTTGGATTGAGATTGGAATTGCTGGGGTGGAGCTTGCTGGAACATCCAAGGGTTGGGGCAGTAAGGCATAGGCTGAGGAGGGTAGTTCGGGAAGCCTTGTGGTGGGTAGTAACCTTGAGGTGGAAATTGGTAGAAATTCGGAGGTACTTGCTGGAACTGAGGTGCAGGGGCTGGTTCTTTAGGTTCCTCTGGTTTGGGAATGGACTCGGTTGGTGGGACGTGAGACATTCGTTTGTGTCCTGTTGGAAGGAAGAACTTTTCCTGTTGGAAGGAAGAACTTTTCCTGTTGGAAGGAAAAATTTTTTCTGTCGGAAGGAAAAACTTTTTCTGAATTTCGACCAAAA